TTTTTTTTAATATAAAATCGTGTTTGGTATGGAATGAAATCTAAATTTTAATTTAAATGAAAGTTAACAGTTAATTTTAATAACATATTTCATGGAATTCATCAAAGTTCAACTTTTATCAAAATTTACTAAAATTTTGATTTTAATCTCCACAGGGGCAAAATCACAATAAATTTGAATTTCGATAACATGCTAATTTTAAAAATTATCCGACAATCGTAGCTTATATTATCTCAAAGCTTATTTTGAAAATTATATTATGGGCATATTAAATAGTCCAAATAGATATCGAAAATAGTTAAAAATATGTTAAACGTGAGTCTTAAAAAAAGACATCTAACTCCCATTTTAAAAAAAAAAAATTCAATTATTTCATTAACATTTATTATTTTAGCGATACAAATTTCTCAATGTAATTTTCATCATTTTATTAGGAAATTTTATATGGAATATGACATCAAAAATTTTCGAAATTTTACATCCGAAAAAGTCATATCCCATGTAAATTTTCGGATGTAAAATTACATTGGGTATGATTTTNAAAAGTCATATCTCATATAAATTTTTAGATGTAAAATTACATGGGGGTATGATTTTTTTGAACATAAATTTTCGATTGTAAAATTTCTCCCAACTTCTTTGCAAGTTCGATTGTGCTCCCCTAACTTTTAAGGTCTGCGCCCGCCCCTGTTGAATATTATCATTCTTACTTGTGTATATTTTGATTGAATACGATTTGGTTTTCAGGTTATGGCCACGAGTCGTGGGAAGTATGATGTTAAACACAATGTGGGAACTGTTTTGCCCAGATCAACATTAGATATCACAGGTGCTTATTTCATTAGTATTACTTTTTCCTGTTTGTAGTCAAGTTCCAATTATCTGATTCTGTGACAATACATAGAAGAAAATAAAAAAAGCAAAAGATTGCTCTGCTTTCGTGTCGTCTCATTCGCAAATTGGACTTTGTATCAGAATTGAAATCACTAGAAGCCCAAAAATTCAACAAATGGAGTATGAAATCTCTGATTAGAACTACATCATCCTATGATTTGATTATTTCTTCCTTTAAAAAAGATGCGTTTTATAACAGAATAGATTTTATTTTTAAGTTTGCATGTTTTGCAGTAACAATGCAAAGGCAGACAGAGGCTCCTCCTACAATGAAATGTACGGACAAGTTTCTGATTCAGAGTGCAGTTGCAAGTCCTGAGGCAACCATCGATGACATTAGAAGATTGGTAATTATATAATTACATTATTAAGCGTGCGAGTTTATTTAAAGCTGGCCCTGTTTTCCATTTTTAGCCTTTCAAATATATTTTAAGGCCCGTTCGAGAATGTTTGCAGATACAGTTTTCCTGTTTTCCGAAAGAAATGGGAAGAAGAAGAAACTATTTGGCACGGTTTCAACTTTTACTTCCATGTTACAATTACCCAACTGATGTTGATTTTGATAAACGTTTTTTGATTGTTTTAGAGACTTCAGTATCACCATCTTCAAGTACCATGCAAGATATCCACTACGTGCGAAAGTGGACAGAGTTCCCCAAAAAGTTTCACCTATGTCCACCCACTATATGTAAAACAACAAAGAATTATATTAATATGGTTAAGCCAAATGCCATATGAACTTTTAAAACTAAAGAACTGTTTAACAAAGCCGTTCTTTTCATGATAATATCATCAAGCACTGTTTCAGAAAGCATTAGAAAGGCACCCTTATATTTGTAAGAACTCATTATCTGAAATAGAAGCTAAAAGAACTGGATTGCTATAGCAGCTGTTTTTGATTCATGAACTGGCATGTTTAATTTGCAGTTCATGACAGCCAGACATCGTATTCAAAAGTGCAAACTGGAAGTGGTCTACATTTTACCACCTCAAGTTCCACCAGCAGTTCCTGACGGACTAGTAAGTTCTTCTTGGATTGCTGATGTTTCCAGGTTGTTTTCCTGAGCTTTGGATGTTCTATTTTCACTGTTTTCGTGCAATCTCCAGCAATTATAGCTCTTGATAGTTCTATTTCCGTTAATTAGGTTACTAGAATATTTATAGGTATTGCGAAAATTTTTAGAGGTGAACGTTTTCTGGTTTATGCAGGTGAATGTGCATGAATTGCAAATATGTAAATGTAGTAGTGTTGCTTCTCTGATCTTGATGTTGTTCTTGTATTTGATCTCTGAATATAAAATGTGCATTCTTCAAAAATAAAGTTCCTAAAATTTTAAAAAAGTAGAAAATACCCTTGTGGCATTACTTTAGGTGAAGTTACAACACACATTAATATCAAATGAGGAAATGAAACTCAATGAATTTTTCACATCCCTCTGAGAAAATTAGATTTCTCATATTTATATGATAAATCATTAAGCAAATTAGAGGCCCATGAGGTAACTAATTATTACAATGATACGCCCTCTTTTTAAAAAAATTACAGAAACTCACTTGCAATTTATTTTCCAGAATTGATCCCCTTGTCAGCCAAAAACAAATATTTGTTTTCATTCTACCCACTTCTCCCACTTCTCTTATACTACATTATGTGCGCCTATGCGCGCATCGGAGGTCAACAGAAAACGTTGACCGCATTTTCACGCGAATACCACAAAAGCGACTCGTTTCTGACGCGCGCCTACGCGCCGCGTTTTTAAGAATTTTAGAACACTGTATTTAACTATCTTTCTTTCTCGTTTCTTAGGATATTTTTCTATATTTNGGGGGCACCTGCCCCCCCAGGTCCGCCCCTGGTTACAACACACATTAATATCAAATGAGGAAATGAAACTCAATGAATTTTTCACATCCCTCGAGAAAATTAGATTTCTCATATTTATATGATAAATCATTAAGCAAATTAGAGGCCCATGAGGTAACTAATTATTACAATGATACGCCCTCTTTTTAAAAAAATTACAGAAACCTCACTTGCAATTTATTTTCCAGAATTGATCCCCTTGTCAGCCAAAAACAAATATTTGTTTTCATTCTACCCACTTCTCCCACTTCTCTTATACTACATTTGAAACTATTATTACATGATAGTTAACTACACAAATATTTCTTTTCATTCTACCCTCTTCTCTTATACTACATTTGAAACTATTATTACATGATATTTAACTATCTTTCTTTCTCATTTCTTAGGATATTTTTCTATATTT